CATCCACGCAGCGCGCGAGGTAACTTTATCCCGATTCTAAAAATAATTCGAGACGAATTACTTATGGAATAGGGTGTGTATGGGGGACATGGGGGATGCCTTCTCTGTCCCCTTTATCCTCTCTTGGTGATTACCTCTAGATTTATGATAGAAGGAAAGACTCTATCATTCATATTCTTTTGGTGAAGTGCGCTTGCGCAATCGCTGCTAGCTAACTTCTGGTGATCCGCAACAAAATGCCAATCACCGGCGATCTCACCTTTTGAAGCTACTTGAGAAGGTGATCGACTGATGATCAGTGTTTACGTGCATCCCATGTGATATAGGCATGAGCGTCAAAAGCCTAAGAATGTACACGCCCAAAGGGTAACTGAATCCTGCATATGTGCAATCTATGAAGACTACCAGTATAAAGTGACCCAGTTCGTTACCTGCAATGTTTGCATTACAAAAAAAACTCAAAATATTATTTACGTTTTTTTTTTAAATAACTGAGGATAAATCAAAGTGGCTGCCTTTTATTTACCTTGTGTATAATTTGGTGAATTTGTGTCATGAAAATCCTTCAATTTCCGAGCCGTTAGATTTCCTTTGTGTATGCCCCATATATATTTTTTTTTACATTCGTCACGCAATATGCATTGTTAGGACGTACGCCTTAAGATAAAATGTTGTAAACAAATTAAACAATTAGTGAAATCGGCTTTCGCATGGATATGAGGAATTATGTGGACCTTGGAGGCTGTTATCCACCGAGGCCAATTCCTTACATAGTAAAAAATGTGAGATGCGTGGCATATGCAAAATCCAATCCCTATGTTCCATTAACGCTAAGGCACAACTTTCGTTCGACTAGTCATGTGCGGGTAATCTGTAGGTAATTATCTTATTTTAACAGTGACATCTTCGTCTACCCTATCCACGGTACAATACCCTAGTGGCTGCCTTTAATGAGAGTATAAGCAGAACCGGCAATGTTTTTGGTTCTTTTTTGTTCAGGTTGATCTTGGTTGGGTACGGTCCGTCTCTGGTGTAGCTACTCAAGGTCTAGACGACATGGATGGCAATTTTGTTTCTCAGTATAAACTGAACTTCAGTACCGACGGATCGGTATGGAAATCCTACATGGAACGACCTAGCAGCGGGAGCAAGGTATATTGATCTTGAATTATTTTTATGGAAATAAAATACAAAATTTTAGGATACATGCTGATTAACGAGGTATCAAACGGTCATTTGGCCTGACCATAGATTGGACAATACTTTGACATGCAAGCACGATTTTGTCAGAGTATCCTCAAAATGAATAACAGAGAAATTTGGTTTATGACATAGACGTTGCCTAAGTGTAAGCAGCCCTGGTTTGCTCTACTATAAACAAGTCTATACGGTAGTAAGACGCGAACGTGATCATAATTGAAATAAGCCTGTGTCCACAGTTGGTGACCGGGCATGATGCCCAAATACAGTACTGTCTGGTCACCAATCTGAACACACCCTTTTTGCAACTACCCAAGTAAAAATTCAGGCACGGTACCGGTGCCCGAGTACAGGGTCAGAACTTGAGTTCTGTTGTTTCAATGTGGGTACCAGCTCCCTGTTGCATACTTTTCTTGGCAATTCCGAGGATGTCCACTACTTTGAATACCCAAGACGACTGCTTTGCTCATGTTTCAAAATGGCGTCTGACATTGCGAAAAGGAAGAAATTTATACGGTCGGTTATATAATATATAGATTTAGCCAAAGCTAAAGCGAAGCTCTGGTTTATGCATTTTAGATTTACTCCGTCAAGCAATAAATCATTCCAAAGAAATCCACAAAGCTAGACTTAACTTTAGAGGAGGCATATGACTGAAAAACGTAAACTTGAGCCTGCGATCAATTAAAAGCTAATAACTGCTCAATGGAATACTTCAAAAAAACACATAAGCTCCATGAGTTGACACCTGAGCCCGCGATACCGTCAATCTGACACTGGTCAGCGGACAGCTGTCAATTGCACAACTGTTAATTGACTATAATATGGATGTCTATTATCAAATTAAACACAGGTTAAAGGCGCCCACACTAGCAAGAAAGTTTGACATTTTACATTAGTTTCCCTGTGGTTCGGACGTGCGTATGGTCACGTGATTACCAAAAATGTCTCGGATGGATAATTACCAAAGTTTCTGAAGCATGGAGCTCCGCTTTAAGTTTTACATTAGTTGTGAACACAATAACATCTTGTGCCGATACTCAGGCATCAAGGGTAAACAGATTTATTCAGATAAACGCATGACGCTTTAGGTAAAATCAAGAGACTATGAGGTCTCTTGGTAAAATTAATTTTTTTTCTTTTGCTTTTTAAATTGTGTATGTGTTTTTCTGCCTTTCAGGTGTTTCAAGGAAACTGGGATAAGGACACCGTAGTAACGCAAATACTATCTCGGAAAATATTTGCGCGTTTTATTCGGTTTAACCCAGTATCGTGGGAAATTAATGGCTATATCTGCTTGCGAGTGGAGATTTACGAATGTCTCCCTGCGAAAGGTAAGAAATTTGACTTACAACTATTACTATTAATACATTCCTGAATACCTTAAGAAAAAAATGTACTACGATTAAAATAGGGATAGCGGAGAAGATAGACAAACCCTTTGGACGATGGGTAGTTACTTTAATCTCACTACTCGTTTCTAAAAATCGTACAACCACCACTGGATATAAAAAATCTCAAAAATGGCCCGGTCCTTAGAATTCCACACGTACCCCTCCTTGTGTGCATTGGTCGGGCGATTTAAGATATAAAATCACGGCAGATGACGTTTTGCACTATAACAGATAATAGTGCCTACCAATTGCTACAAGCGGTACCATCTTAGATCAATTCTAGTCGTTCAAGTTTTTTGAAGTCTACATTTCTCACGACTTGCTCTGGGCTACGCGCTTTCATAGTAACAAAAAAAATTCATCCGGAGGCTCTAAAGGCCCTTAAGGTCCTGGAGTCCGGTAGAGTGGGAGTACACCCATTGCTATGCTACGATTAGTATACGCTATTAGCATTTTACCGATTAAAGATAAGAAAAAAAAAACCATGGATAGATAAATAGATAAATAAATGGACAAATAAAATAAAATACAAAACGAACTTAAAGCCTTAAAGTAGGTTGGGATCCATGAAAGATAAAAATAATCTAACACGAGAAAAATGTAACTGAATTGATTTAATGTCATTTCTATGATCTAAAAGAGGGTAGACGATGGGAAACTCTCGGTGATGTAAATACGTTATTTCAGAGTCAACCCGTTCCCGAGTAGATTTTTAATTAGAACGGTTCCCAGGGGAGACTTCGCGCGCCGACGGAGGGAAGAGCCAATCACAACGACGAAGTGACACTGCTATTGTACTTGATCAAACAGCAGGAAATTCGGTGTTGACAGGCCAAACGCAATCATAAGCTAGTGAAACGTGACTTTAGCGTTTTCATCCCTCAGAGATTTTCTTTTTTTTCTTTCTAGCGGGTAGATTATATTGTGGAGAGTTTTAAACTCTGACTATGTAAACTTAATTTTGGTTGCTTGTCTCACATTAAGAGGCCGTGAAGCTGGTCTGTTACATGCACAATGATTAACTACTACCTGCAGTTTGTAGTTATGACAAGATTCGTTTTCTTTAGCCAATTTTTTTGAGCGTTAAGTTTCCTATTTCGGCTAAATGACTCAATATTAATCAAATTCCTAGTTTTTTTGAGTTTTTTTTTTCCGAAATGCGTTTATCTGAATAAATACTTGTAGTCCTTGTGGTTGTTTTGTCGGTCAGCTAGTGTGATGATTCCGGCCCTGCTATGTTTTGTAACGCCGGGCCCAGCTATTGTTTTCTCGCAAAAAAAATGATCCACAGATGCGAATTCGAAGGAAGGAATTGAGCCTAAACTCCTACATTAACTGCCGAGAATTGTCCTGTTAGTCAGTCATAATTCTTTTGGCGCCGATACAATCCATTTTGCTTTTCTTGAGATAAGTGGGTCTTTGGACTGAAGCGCGATGTCACAAATTCCTCCGTTAGCAAATTACTTTTGAGTTAGCTTCACGGTCGAGCAACTGTTGTCTTCTGTTCAACTTTCCAAGTGCTAGTTTTATCAGGCAACTCTCATGGTGATACAAGTCAGTTGTAAAGGAAGACTGCAGTTTCTCAAATTTCGGAACTGAAGCATTCCCCGTCAGTTGCTACTTAGGTAATCGCTTTTGCACGCGGTGCATAACTGGCGAAATCCACTCCACGGTGATGACAAAATCAAATGATCCTGCCACTTTTTCGGCGCTGATCATCGAAAAGTTCCAAATCGTCCACAGAACGCTTAATCGTTGACTCTTTTCTAGGTGCATGCTTAAATGTGGGATGTATGGCGGCAAAAAAAAAAACGGACTGGCAAAGATAACCTTTCCGTGATCCTCAGTTCGCTGCCTTTGTCCCATCGCTTCATGCTCAGTCTCAGTCGGGTAATTCATTAACTTTTATCTCCATGATACCCAGATCCCAGCGGCTGTAAAATTGTAAAAATGGACGTAAAGTAAAAAAGGAAAACGGTCGAAGGCCGGGCTTCTGAGTTCGACTTCATCCAATTTTATTTTTTCACCGTGACATACGAGACTTACGGAAATATGACACTTTTCGCGGGAAACAAGCCGTTCTATTTATAAATCTACTCGGGAAAGGGTTGACTCAGGAAATTAATGGAGATGGAGGCTCCATTTGATGGGCTGCTGGTTATTTGTAACTTGAACATGTGGATAAAATCACAACTTTTAAAGATCTTAGCAACAAGGAACATAAAGTGAGAGTCCCAGGGACGATCAATTCTGTCCTGTTTAGGGTAGAGTTGTTACAGAAGGACAATTAGTTCAATTCCTAATACCTCTGTCTTCTTTCAGCCTTCTCCTGTCTAACTGGAGTTAATAAATAAAAGGTAACCTGGGAAGATTGAAACTTTACTTTACTTTACTTATTTCCTCGTAGGAAGCGTACCACTCGTAAGTCCACCAAGCGAAACATTGGAGATGAACCGAACAAGCTCCGTGAACTTGACATGTATTGTGTCTGGCCAGCCTGGATTCCACATGAATTGGTACAAGAACAGGGTTGTGATTACCTCGCCGCATCTGCCACCATACGTGAATGGCAGCGTCAAAAGTGTGTTAACTCTAAACCGTATAAAGTACAAGGATAGGGGATCCATTATATCCTGCACGGCCTGGTATCCAACACTATCCATCAACTCTACGCGGCATATTCACCTTCTTGTTCGTGGTAATAGTTATTTTCATTACTGCTTTCTTGCAATAAGGTTTGCTTCTTAATTAATAAGGAAGGGACGACTTTCTTGTGTACGATTATAGTTTCTCGCAATATAATTGTGTCCCCGGCCAAGAAAGTGATAACTTTTTTGCACACGGTTGAATTTCTCGCAATATAATTGCTTGGTAATGTGCACATGATTCGAATGAAGTCCAGTACAAGAACTGTACCCATAGTGGGTGTGATAATTATAAGGAAGGATAAAACGGTGGGAGAAAATTTAGGGAATTACATTCAAGTTCAGCAGGACAAGAAAGCTAGTAATTAAGGCATATGGCGATATTAAATAAACAGAACAAAAACTTACCCCAGGGTAAGACGTTTAACGTAGATTACAAAATTTCGCATGCCTGTTTCAACCGGGCTTTCCCGCCATTTCATAATAAAATAAATATGCTGGAGCCTGCTGACACTAGCAGAGTTGCTTGTAACCACACCCTGGGCACTTGTATGTTTTGAAGACAGGGAACAATCCAAGTGTTGATTTAAAGCAGCGGTATCGAACAGACTAGATCAGGGGTAATTAAAGTATGGAGACTCCCACATTTTGATTGGCTGATTTATTCACAGTCACAGCAATAGCCGGTGGACTGAGACAATCAGAAGCGTGATCAGAAAACCAGAAAGTATTCCAATATTCTTGTCGTTTTCTTGGTTGCCTCATTTCTTCAAGCTGTTTTCTATCTTTTACTCCGTTACTTCTTTTTAAGTCACCACTAGTCATTTATCATCGACGTACGTCAACAGGAAGTGAGTCCTTCTCGCTTTTAGTATGCCTTGACCTTACCACATTTGCATTGCTAATTGTTTTCACTCTTCTAGAAACGATTGGCCGAAAACTGTTGCAAAACCACTGTTTAAGAATACAAAACGTTTGCTTACGGCTGACGTGCAAAAATGTCTTTGCTGAAGCACCCTAATGTCCCACAATATGACCGTGCTATAACTGTGTAGGGTGTTCATGAAAGGAGGTTTATCTGTACCCTAAAACTCTCATTGTGCACAGGGCGACTGACGTAGATGAGTAATTCTGATTCTGTTTCCAGCTCCACGGCTTGTCATATGTATCTCTGAGGCTCAGGCCAGGCAAGTACAACTGCATATCAGGGACCCGACACCTGCCCACACTGCAAAGTACTTGGTACGTTACAAAACAAACGCTGAACGTTCTCAATGGATGTTGGATGAACACAGTAAGGTCACACATGGTGGTCACACTCTGCTAACGGTACAAGACCTGCATCCTTATACAGCGTATGTCATGGAAGTTGCTTCTTATTATAAAGATCAAGACCAGGGTCCTTACAGTTTTCCTCAAAGTGTCATCACAAAACAAGCGGGTAATTGAACTATACAACTTTATAAGTCATATTCTGTAAAAAATGGTTCCTTCATAGTGTTATTATACATGTACATGTACTTGAACTTTCTCTATTGCCTGACAGTGGATGATTTTATATAGTTATAAGGTCTCTGCCTGCCAATTTATGACACAAGATGTCTTAACTAATCTGTTGGGCATAGAAAGGGAAGGAACAGAAAAAAAAACAAACAAACAAAAGAAAAAGAAATTTATGAAAGCATCAATAAACATAAACTCCCAACGGCTTAAAATATTATATTCTCTTTGATTTGACAATTGTTAGCTCATAAAATAACATGCTAAGATCTTCCTGATTCTACACAAAAACTGATTTTGCTTAAGCTCCTGACCGAACTTTTCGAAGCGTAGCTTAAGTTATTGCCATTCTTTGGAAGAACTAACATAAATCTTACAGTGGAGAAATGAACATTGTTATAAATTGAACTCAACAACTGTCATTTTGGTTAAAGAAATAAAAAGAATTTAACGGCTGATAAAACTCGGTTTCTATGGTAACAACAATGCACACATCCCAAAGATATGAAATTTCGCTTAGTTTGGCGGCCATATCTTCAGCGGTTTTAAAGTTATGTTACTTTAAAGTTGATGATCCGGGTGGAGTGGCCTCATAAGCTTGCCCGGTCTGAATAGGTTTTTATTGCAGTTTTTTGTTCGTAGTCCCAAGCGGTCCTCCTCGAGATGTATTAGTACTTCCCCGTGGTAAAGACACCATCAAAGTCTTATGGTCAATTCCTAGCGCTGGAGACCGTAACGGTGTAATCACCAAGTACGAAATCATCTTATACAAACAAAATGGCGTCACACAAACGTATCCGACTAAAGGAGAGACATTGTATAAAGACATCGGTGGACTGGAACCTAATCAGCAGTATTTCATAGGAGTGCGTGCCTACACCAGGGTGGGACCTGGGCCTTACAGCCGAAATCTCAGTCACTCAACAGGTAAGATCTTTAAGATATGTATCATAAACCAGTAACTGTGCAAAGTTTAGCGGGAAATTAAAGGGGGCGCATGACTGAATCGAATCGATCGAATCGTGTCTGATGTTTCTTTTATCATCTCAGAAATCAGTGGAGAATCACAACTGACAGTCGCTTTGGAGAAACTCAACAAGGTAACTGTTTCACAAAACAGCACTTGTTTAATTTCTACACGGCTATGGCCACGGTAAAATTTAACGACTTCTCTTTGGAGAAGGTTTTGTGCCTTTACGGCATGTTATTAGGAAGTATTAGATGAGGCTGCGAATTCCCTAAAGAATCATGCAGGCGAGGAGGTCGCTCCGGGAACTGCATAATTATTCAGACCGTACCAAAGTCCAATCCAATATTTGTTTCATTATTCATTCAAAATGTTTCAGACTTTAAACACGCTTACCCTTATCAATGAACTTGCTTTATTCCTCCTCGGGAAATTAAGAATATATAACAGTTATTCACCGAAGTGGAGGTGGCTAGTGGTGTATCCACCGAGGCCGCGAAGCGGCGTGGTGTTTTCACCACCACTAGCCACCGACACTGAAATGAATAATTGTTTTAGTATATACTAAAACAGTGAGATAATTGAACACAAAAATGATGATTTTTAACTCATTTACTGTTGCCAACGATTACAAGTTTGGCCCGCAATGACCGAACGGCCGCGGTCGTCGCTTTTTCTTGCCGACAAACAAAACTTTTGAAGGCAACTGTTTATAAGCTCTCTCGAGAAAATATTTTGATTCGACGGGCAAATGATTAATTGTTTCAATATAACAACGAGCAATAGGTCGCATGCGATGTCTTCTGAGGAGAAGAAACACCTTATGGAACTAAAATTGAAGTAGCAACTCCCTATTTTCAGGTTTCAGTAACACCCACTACCGTAGTCGACGTTATAAAGGAAGTAAGAAATATCACCTCCAAGTCGTCTAAATTAGTACAAAAGGACCTGTCAATCACCGTCAACATCCTGGACAAGGTAGTTAAGACAAACGTCACTTCCCCTGATGTAGGAGATCACATGTTGGGCACCTTAAGCCACGTAATGGACGCGAAACCCGAAGCACTACAGAATAAACAGCAGGAAAACAATAGATCTGCTAGGTAAACTTTACCACACTTTTCTTTCTTACTCCGAAAAAACACTGACAAGCACTTAGTTAGTTGCACATATAATCACATTTAGATACACAGGGATTCCAATAATAAAGTCTTGAAATTAATTGAGGGTATATCTTAAGGCATCGACGCATCTGTTCTCTTTTGAGTTTGTCTTTTGCAATGAAAGAAATAGCTTAATAGCCTGACTCGTTCCCAGGCGTCTCTCCTTGCTATTAAGCGTATTACAGGCGTGTGCCTGCATAATTATTGCACACTACATGGTGAATCGTCGCTTTCTGTTTTCCGCGCAGTGGTGGTACCTGGATAAAGTAGACGAGTAGTTGACCTTTTATTGTAGGTGTTTTGTAGATTATCTTTTCTCTAGTAATTATTTTTTTATTAACGGTTTTAGGTTTGTTCGGATTCTCGAGGATTACATTGACAAGGGGGGAAAATTCAGCGAGGATACATCCAACATCGCAGTTATTACACAGCCGATAAATCAGGAAAACAACAACCTTGACGTTTCCATTAAGACTACAGTGGATAAAATCTTTGTGAACTTGAGTTCAAATTCAACTGACGAAAATAGTGAAGCTAGTATAACCATACGCAATTCAAACGCAAACGGCACCGACAATTCTACATTAATAGTTGTTTACTATCGAACTAGCAAGCTTTTTGCACCTGATTATCGGAGTACAGAAGTTTGTAAGGGAAGTTACACTGCGCAAAAGTTGAACATGGTAGAACGACCGAAGACTTCAAGTTACACGATGGAGAACGCTACAGGAAGCAGAGTGACTGAGAGTAGCCCTGTGCTATCTGCAAGTTTGAGAAACAAACGAGTGACAAACCTCACCACACCCTTAATCATCAAGTTTAAAATGCCTCGTGACCAGGTATGGCCGATCAATGCATGTGGTTGATATAAGTGACTTTCCTGTTTCCTGTGGTTCCTTTGTGTTCGAAGTCATTTCTAATTAAATTTTGTCAAAATTGGAAAATAGCGATTGATGTCGTGTTTGATTTAACTTGTTTTTCTTTTGAATTGTTTAAGCGAACCAGTTGTCGAAAGGATGAAGGAACGAGAGGGCTGTTGAAAAAACAAAACCAACAACAAAACTCGTTTTCTCGTTAAATTATGGCCGGTACATGGTCGCAGTCTGTTTCTGTCTGATCTATGGCTTTTTCCAAAAAAATTGTACAAGGTGGAAAAGCGCTATATGAGGGGGGCGTAAGGGGGGTACGAATACCGCAATACCGCACGTGGTAGCGCGAGAATACCGCAATACCGCATCAAAATTTAGCCAAATACCGAAACCGCAGTTACAAATGGGAAAAAGTTGACGTTGTCAATACTACAAACCCTCCTTTCAAATAGAAATAATACTTTTATGTCAGTGTTTCCAAATCAAGGTGCGTCGATGTCAAGCGCACGATAAACATAAGATCATCGCACTCGTTTAGCTTTGTTTATTACATGTATACGTTTACGTAAATGATACAACAGGAGTTTTCTAGTATCACTTTATATATTACTGGACTTGGATCATAAACGGACGGAAAACAGTTGACTCTTGGTTGTTTCAGATTCACAATTAACTCGGTTCTGTGTTGAGGGTTTCAAAACGACCCGGGCTGCCTTTTGGATTCGAAGGGCACACAGTACACACTAGCCTGCGTAGCATGGCGGTTTTGGTTTAGCGCGCTAAATAATAAGTCGAAATAAGGCGGGCGCGGGCGAGGAGATTGGGGCGGGAGCTGCTTCGCCGCTCACGGTGGTGCTGCCGACAAAACCATGTAAAACTGCCATGCCCGGGGTGGGGGGGTACTTGGGTTAATATTTGGTTGGTATGTGCCGCTGGCCTCTCAGAGCCCCTACCCCATTACAGTCTATTCTGTGGCCAATTATAGACCCCATCTTAGTCATTTGAACAAATATTTGATTTTCGCGATCCCAACTTCGTCACTTTCTATTTTTATGAATTGACCTTGTTTTAGATTGAATGAAGAACACTTTACTTTTCATCTACAATACAAACATTCTGGTACCTTTGCTAACCGTAAATATGAGGAACTGTCTTACCCCAAAAAAGCAGAAAATGTGCGACCCCATTCTAAAAAAACTCTCTGAAAATGCGACCCCATTATAGTCAATCCAGTCGTGAAAATTCGACCCCATCCAGCGGCACATCCTCATTAGCCTCTTATCAGGAAGTACCCCCCCACAACCACCACCACCCCGAGATGCTATGCTACGTAGGGTAAGCAGGGTAGGGTAATTCCTGAATGCACAACGAGAAGGACAATTGTTTAGTAATTTTTAGACCACGCCATCTTTATAGATTATCTTTCTACACTACGCAATTTATAACGATCTCACTGACCTCACTATTTCCTGGAATATCTGACTGATCACTTAGTTGACCCCGCTGGATCGCTCTCTATTGTTTGGCGACTGGCACAAAAGTGGTGGTAAGATTGGTTTAAAGGAGGTTAACCAAGCTGACTATTCCTACAAGGTCCATGAAGTCATAAATAATTTGCGACATGTTTACGTATTATTGGATGAAAAAGTTAATGTCGTTAATCATATCAAGTATTAACTGAAATTAGAAGCCATACGATTTGTCTGCACTGTTTGCGCAAAACAATCCCCGACTGTGCACACAGGTCACGCAGGCTAGCCAGGGAGACCTTTTAGGATTTGTATCCTCTTGTCATGAAAAAGAAGCAGATCACCGCGACACAAAGATTTTTTCACCGACTACCGCGGCGTAAAATTTAAACTTACCGCAAACCGCTTGGACTCTGAAAACCGCAATACCGTACTTTGAAATAAAAATTACCGCAACACCGCACCAAAAATGACCCAATACCGCAATACCGCAAACCCTTACGCCCCCCTCCTATATATATGAAAAAGTGCAGAATATTGTAATGTCACGTTAATGCGGTGTGAAATCAGAGGATTATTTCCTGTAGTATATTAAGTATATGATATATTTGCGAAAATAAGTGCTGTTAATTAAAAAATGGTTGGTTGATCGTCTTTTTACATCAGCCAGATACTAATTAAGCGAGTCGCAAACGTTTTTATACGTTTTTTATTTGCGGAAATAACAATACCAAAGAATTCAATGCAAGTGAAATGACGTTTTGTAGTCTGCATGCATTAAACATGCTTCTGATTGGCTTTTGGTGGACGCTAGTCACTATGCCCATGATGGACTAGAAGCAAAAGTAGTCACGGAATATTCTTCGATTTCATGACTGATCGTTTTTATGAACTTAACTTTTATTAACTTTAGGTTGTAAAAACAAGGTGTGTTTGGTGGAATTTTGAAAAAGGTGGGTCTGACTTGACGTTGTACTTTAAAGAAGTTGTGTTGATCCCTATTTAGTACCTGCTGAAGCTTTTAGAGAAAAAAATATTTTTTTACCCCCTTATGAATAACTTCAAGAATACGGTCTGAGGACAATTTGGGCACAAAACCCGACAAGTAATTTAAACGTCGGTAATTTAGACTGAGTTAGATGCTTGAACTAGCGCTTATAATGATACAGGAAAGGGGTAATTATCATTTACAATTCCCTTTTAAAATTACTGTACTGGTTTTCTTCTGTTAGACAAATACAATTATAGGTAAATATATGGATCATTGCAGAGGATTTATTGCCAGTAACCTCCTGATCGGCCCTCTTTTATTCTGACGTTTGTAGGTGGTTGGTCGACTGCAGGTTGTTCTTTACGAAGAATAGTTAATGATACTATTATTTGTGAGTGCGATCACATGACCAACTTTGCAGCCTTAGTGGTAAGTAATTTTTAAAACTTTTATATATAGCAGCACCTTGGCACTGGGACAAATTGACCTTAATGTCAGTTAAGTTTCGACTTCCTTGCCACCCCAAAAAATCATCAGTCCAATTTTGACGGTTCTTTGACTCCTGCCGAAGGTCGTGACTCTAAAAGAAGAGTAGTTTAAACGGATCTCAGTCTATTAGCTCCAAAAGTGATTCATAGTGCACCACACTCTAGGCTAGTTGTGGAACAATAAAACGAAAATATTCATTACCACTAACATAAGCCAAAAGAGGTGCTGATCCATTCATTATTTACTTAAGGTATCTAACATGATATGGCCGGCTCTGTTTTTCACACAGGATATTGATGGCCCGTCATCCAAAGCGTGCGGTGAACATTCCAAGGTGTTATCACTCATCAGCTATATCGGATGTGTATTGTCTATTTTGGGTCTATCGCTGACCATTATTACATTTGGACTTTTCAGGTAAGATTTCTTCAAACCTAAGACAAGCGTGTAAAGTAATATTTAGAATACACAGTTCTCATCGTTTAATAACTTATTTTCCATTTTCGTATTTGTAGAACAATTTCACATTTTGTTTTGACAGGAAACTAAGAAATGATCAGATCGCCGCGAAGATATTGCTTCACCTGTGTGCCTCGCTTCTATGTGTACTGATTGTTTTTGTGTCAGGGGTGGAGAGGGGCAGTGTATCTGAAGACGCCTGTCTCATTGTAGCAGCACTCGTGCATTACTTCCTACTTGTAGCGTTTCTATGGATGCTGATCGAAGCGTACTTCATGTATCAGGCTTTTGTCAAAGTGTTTAGAGACTATGGTGATTACGTCATGTGGAAATGTTCCGCCCTGGGGTGGGGTAAGTCAAAAACTGCACACCTCATTAACTGCATGTGTTTCCAGACGTCTCTCTATCGATGAAAATTTGCTCGCAAAAGAAGGCAGGAATAAAAAAGGGCTTTGCCTGTTATCTGTCTTCTTCCCATGGTCCCTTGCGCTTCGTAAACAGTCACACGTGTCTTGTGCTCGTCTTTGTTCGCCACCAAAGTGCGAAAACGAAGCGCTTGAGGAGGAGGCAGCCTCATTAACATCTTTTCAGAGCGCAGTCTCTTTGCGGAACAAGGCTGAACGGTGTATTTCACCTTTCACATCAACCTCGTCCCCAGGGCTTTTAACCTCGTCCCCAGGGCTTTTCCGTTAAAACATGGGTGGGAAAAGCCCTGGCGACGAGGTTGCTTTCATATAACTATAAAAAGGATAAGGAAATCAATTTGTAGTGGAAGAATTTGTAGTAGAAGAATTTACGAGTAAGGTTTTATTGCCTCTTACGCTGGTATTTTAATTTCTTGATTTTCTTTTCAGGTCTGCCATTTATCGTTGTAGTAGTCACTATTGCTGTGGATAAAACCAGCTATGGCGGAAAACACTAGTGAGTATGACAATTAACTTGCTCTAAGTAAAATAAAATCAAGGTTATCTGATATACGTGTAGCTTGCCTTAAACACAAGTTGATACTTGTCATACTCAGTTATGATGTAGTTTAAAATTGTCCTTATAATTACAAAAGAACAAGAACGCTCTTAAAATCGGTATTTCGAGCTTGCTTAGAGATAAGATAAGAAATTAGGAGGCGATTAATTCTAAACGCTTTTTCACGTCCTACTTTATCGACGTGCCAGTATTCTTTAGGATGTTTACTTTTTATGTCGTAGTGCACGAATTGTTTCTGAATTGATTGAGTACATAAATACACGAAAATCAAGGGCCTCGATTCTAGAGAAACTACATCATTGCAAAAGAGCAAAACCGTGATGAACATGGTGCGTCATTTCAATCATAGCCGAAAACAAACCGCATACTCACCACAAAGCTCGTTTGCATATAATGAAAATTTACAACAACAGACCAGTTAACATCACCATCGAAATTTTCTCATTAAGATTCTTCTTTTTTTTTGATCACTGAAATATTCACTAGTTCCAAAGTAATCAGCGCTTTCAAGCGACAGAATTCGTGGACCGACCCCAGCAGCAAAAGCTCGACACCTTTCGCATTAGTCTTTCCTAAGAGAGAATATTTGTCTTTCCTAAGCTTTCTTCACAAACATACATGACTCCGGTCACGCCGCGATTCTTATCCCCAGTTTCCACGGTCTCCGCTAGGAACGCCTGCTAACATGACTACCCTTTTGGCGTCCACACACGAAACGCTTGCATTTTGAGAGTCTCGCTGCTAAAGCAAGCTCGATCAAAGAGTGTAAATTTAAATTCAAGCTTTGAATAACTGTGGTCGTCAGTTCGCGGTTTTTCTGAATTCATCACTCGCACTTCAGTTTTCAATACAATTCAACTTCATTAATGCATCGAAATGCGGATCGCACCCAATCACTTCAACACTGGTTACAACAGCCTGCATCGCAGAGGTAATTAGATTTAGAGCCCTGGGGTTTAGTTTCGTCTGTGGCGTAGGTTAAGGTTACAAGCATATAAGATAGCTGGATTCTGAAAAGAAAAACCAAGCTTGACTTGAGAAATCCGCTCAAAAGATTTAAAGTTCTCGAAAAGCAACCTCTTGCACTAGAGTGAAATGTCTCTCTCTTTTCAGTTCTATTCAGAAATCTACACTACTTCTCAACGTATTGCTAGGAAAAACAGAACTCTAAATCTCGCGCTTTGCTTTTAAATCTACCCCTCAGGGAAGACGTTACAACTGGCAACTGATTTAAACTATAACTTACAATAACTTTTATTAAAGCCTCAAGAAAATGAGTGAGACGCTGAAAATTTCACCATTTTAAACTTGTCTGATTCTGTTGATACTTTAGAGAACTGATTTAACATATTCAAACTCATTTAAGCGGTAAAACGTTAATGCCTCTCCATCGAGAATTTCCTGCAGTTCCGCGGTCTACCAAGTTTCAATGCAAAACCATAAAAATCTCAGGACATTGCGGCCAGTACAACTTGGAAATGACTTGGGCTGGTCCAATAAAGACTGTAGAGGAGCCTATACAAAAAAGAAAAAGGGCAACTAATATATATCAAATCGTTCAAGAGCGCTTTTTTTGAAACGAAAGTCTGTGTTAAGTAAAGCCATTATAGCCCTAATTTCTGTGGAAAGTCCCATATCGTGCTCCACCTTGAATGCTGGAAAGCTCCTGTTTCAAAATTCAATTATGTCATAAAACTCACAAATTTCTTTATTTATTTTGCAGCTGTCGTCTCGGAAACATGGCATTTTACGCGGCTTTTGTCGCACCAGTTGTTTTTGTCATGTTTGTCAATACAATAGTCTTCCTTTTAATCATGTACAAACTCGCCACGCGTCCTCAGAACGCAGCTGATCCTGACCGCGGTAGTGAAGGTCTTCTGAAGATCAAGCGAGCCTTTGGAATTCTTATTTTGGTTGGTATCACGTGGATGTTTGGTTTCTTTGCAGTAGCTGACGCTCGTCTTGTGTTTCATTACCTCTTTGCTATCTGCAACAGTCTTCAAGGTTTTTCAATCTTCGTTTTCTATTGCGTTATACAAAAGAAAGTACGCGAGTGTTGGTGGGCTTTGCTGACGTGTAATTTGCGCACTCTTGAGAAGTCAAAGTCGATGTACTTAGATTCTTATGACCGTCGGCGTCTGTCGTCTGCCAGCAGAATTCAGTTGGATGGCATGCGCACAAGAAGCAACACTGTGCTTTCCCAGGTCAGTAAAACGGTTACTTATTCGTGAAGTGTTAAGTTGAGGCATGCTTCGCTGGGAGAACGTCCCATATACGGTGTACCAACAAAGACAAAATACTTACCTTTCAAATTTGAGATCCCACCATAAGGGTTTGGTTGGGTAACGAATTGAATCTGATTTACTTGTAATGCCATCTCACATTATGCGTTTTAGTTAAGAAATTTCTTACCATTCACGACTAAGCCTTGACTACATTTGAAGACTTGCCAATTTTCACATTTTCTACTCGCTGTACACTTTACTTTTATTGCTTGGTAGCCTTACATGCCACCGTTTGTAACTTTTGTATTAAATTTTTAAGTGATGCTACTATTATAGAATAGAAAGAGGATTACAAGATAATACTAGCTTGTCAATCTAATGTTTCAGGAATAATATGACACTTCTTTTTTTTTCTGCCCTAAAAGATTCTTCCAACACCATTACATCGAGAAGCCTCTTCCCCACCAGATGTTGTTCTTGACTGTCATCACCACAACAACATAATGTACGATGATGATCAAGCTCATTGTGCTACAACATTTGAATCACTGAGTGATTATCAGCTGGCTGACTTGTACGAAAGCCAGTCGATTGAAATAGAGGACTCTACGGAAGAACTTCCCAATGTTTTGTCACATATGCCTGGCTCCAGTTCACCGAGTTTGTTATCTCAAGGAACCCCTTCCCGGAATGCTAGCGTGCGGAGCTCACGAGCATCGGCAAAGTCTGTACAGTCCACACCTAAAATGTTAAGGTTGCCTCATATCCATGCTTTGCGTCCTGTCAGAGTTTTCAAAACCTCCCCTGAGAATTTGCCTCATAATAAAGAGACTCTCAAGAGAACAGCGTCACATACTCCTGACGCGACGAGGCCAACTATGTGCTCTTTACTAAGAAGAACTAAATCCGCCAGCGGCTCATTGGACGACTTAAGACAGAGTGTTGACTTAAGTATAAGCAGTGACCAGACTTCATGCGAGTCGCTGAGCTTAGAAGGCTGTAATAAAACAAAGAAACACTATCTTCGTGTCCCTGTTGACAATCTTGGTGAGTATGTACATACCAATAGTTACTCGATCTCACTCTGCTTCCTTACTTGTATTTTCGTACAAAGAGCAATGCATGTTAGAATTGCCTATGCAAAAAACTGAGTGATATAGATTCTCTAATTAAAACGATCAGTGCGTTCAGCGAAACAACTTTCATTTCAATTTTTGGAAACCTCAACGTTTAATGTCTCGTATATAATTCAATTAAATAGTAATCAATGAACTCCGATCCAATATTTAGCAATTAATGAATGATGAAGAATTAAGCAGATCGAGGAGGGCGTTGTCCACTGAGGCCGAAGGTCGAGTTTAAAAACATAGCTAAAACATGCTTACCTTCATAGATGTTAAGTTCATCTTCGATAGTGTACGTTTAGGTTTGTCCAGCTCCGCAAATATTCTCCATGCAAATAGCAGATGTCGCCCCCCGAGTTGTCTTCTTGCTGTTTTTGCCATGTTTTTAGCAATTATTTCGCATAGTTCCAGCAGTAGTTCTTACTCTTGAAACGAGTGAAGTGTCCGCCGTTTTAGTTTTCTGAACGAAAACAACTCAACTTCGTCCCCAAGTCTTCTCGGTTAACGGTGTATTAACCCTTTGAGGGCTGCATTTTTGACGTCATTTCCTCGTTAAACACAAAATTCTTCCGAATTTGGTCATCGGTAACTGGTGATGGTGAATTATGTGTGTTCTTTTAGCAAATCAGAATTGGGGAAACATTTGGAATGAATAATAAATATCCCTAATACATAAATAATTCATGATCTGGGAAACGAGGGAAATTGAGATTTAGTCATTTTTAACCTAAAATTTATTTTGACCTTCAACATAAACAGAAAAGAATGCGCGAGCTTACATTTGATAAGACAATGCTTAATAGCAATAGGCGTATTATAATGTAAATTCACTTTAATTTTCTCTTATTGCTTCCAATTTCTCTTTAATTTATATTTGACAATGACGACATGCTACCTTCGAAACGTCTTGTCTTTAGTGCTTTACGAAATTTTTCGTTATTACTGTGATGTAAAAAAAAGAGAGAGACAAAAGCGGGACTCAGTTTTTTAATTTGGACATAACATAACGTCAAGTGGTACGTGCAGCAATGTTTTTTACCCTCACTATTGACTTTCGTTTAAGTTTTAACATGGAGACTTTGTTCAGTTTCATGAAGGTCTGTTGTCGGGCTTTTCATTAATAGTTAGTATGTTCCAAAACCTTGATTGGCCGACTTCCTTTCTTTTAAGCTAAAAGTCGTCTTAAGAGAAAATGCTCTTGTATCTCCTTTTTCTTAGTGAGTTTTCTTTTTGTCCTTTTCAGGTGCGCAAATCCTGGGTCCACTTAGAGGTTCAGTCAGAGGATTTGTAGGATATGTTGAAACGACTGTTGAAAACTTCGACTTGTTAATTGACTTAGAGAGGCAAAGGACCTTGTCCCGTCCTTGTGCTTCGTCTCCTGAAGCTGAGAGACTTTCGCTATCTTAGCTTAAGCCTGTTGATCTTATCGGCCAGCGCTGAAGAAAATTACAGGAGAAAAATTCCTGCACTCCTTTATGCACAGAGATTAAGCTGGATCATTTTACGTTCCCGGGAAACTGCTCACCTACCCCTCCCCTAAGCCAACATTTTGCCCTAAGTAAGAACTAAGTGTTAGGGGAGGGGTAAGTGGGCAATTTCACAGAAACGTAAAATGATTGATAACCTCAAGGTAGGACGGCGCCGTTACAGTTAACAAGAAATGCCTAATGTTATTTACTACATACTTCCCTTTTTAGCAATAAAATGGAAAATAGGGGAGAATCTTTTACACTCATCACATTAATGTCAGAAAACGCTGGATGCGGCTCCAAGACCGTGTAACAGTCTTTTAGTGATTACTCTTAACAATTCCAGACTCCTACCTTTGTAGATGGAGTCCATTTCTTTGCGAGAATTCAAGATAATAATAACAACAAAAACAACTTTATTTCTCATCAGATTAAGCTAATCGGGGCGGGGGTGAAGTGGAGGAGAAAGAAAAATAAGAAAAACTAGACGAAGTAATAATCATAAGCAGCGAAAAAAAATCAATTTTAGATCGATACCCTGCACTGCGTAATTATTTGCTAAAAATAGAGAAATTTATTAAATAAGTTACATCTACTTTTAGTAGCTTAAGTGTTGTCTTTGAGTTAAGGTGTCGAATTTAACATAGCCCTCCCTATCCAAGAGAACATCGGAAAAAAATCCGCAGATAAAGTAGTCTCTCTCCGGGGGAAGAAATTAGGAGATTCCATACTTTTACTCCAGTTTTTGAAAATGAGCGTCCAGAAATTTCCAATTTTTTTCTCTCTGATGATAATTTCCTTTAGTAACATGCCTGGTATTGTACCAATGAATGTCACTTTGCCAATTATATTAAGTGAAAAGATCTCTTAAAGGCGGAGGAGCAAGTCCCTTCCGATTATTGTGCATCAAATTCGCTACAAGGAAAAGCAGGAAGACGGAGAGAAAGAAATACGTCCGTTCGTCAGCGGATCTCTCGTAGATTCTTTGGTTTCAGGTTGCATCAGAAAAAACTATGAAATATGCCAAAAAAATGGACTCTTTTAATACGTTGACCATAAGAACGAGGCGGGCCTCATTTTTTCACAGAAACACCACTTGCCAGCTATATTTTTTCTAGAGGCGTATCAGTCAAGAATTCCAAAAATACGGATTTAGATTTGATGAAACTCTCGAAACGAGGATTCTTTAACAGTTTTGGATTCAAATTTTGGTTTCCCATAAATGCGCACCCCCAGGTCTCAAGCCACGTGATGATAGTTTAGGTGATTCCAAACATATATTCCTTAAATAACAGAGAAAGTGTATTGCTTTCCGATCAAAAATTCTAAATTATCGAAAAATTGTTTCTGTTTTCTTTGGCTCATACTTTTTTAAAATGACTTTTGCTGGTTTTTGGTCTTAACAGCCGCACATCGCATAGGTTGAAGCCCATACCCTCCCTTCCGATATATATAACGAAAAATAATAATGAACAGTGTGCCTTTCTTTCGAACGAAAATCTAGTAGTGAAGAAATGTAATCGAACTAACAATAAAAACCCTGCCAGCAGAGCGTTTTTTTCGCCTCCTCGATCTTGGCGTAATCGAGAAAGAGTGTGCGTGAATCGAGTTAGATCCTCATTGAGAATGCTCTCCATGGCGCTACGAAACAATTACAAACTCAGGCCTAATAGTCGTGCGCTTGGTCTTGCGGGCTCTGTTATGACCATCGTTTTATCAATTAATGGATGCTCGCACCCTCAGGGTTCTATCTAGGATTTATCTTTCTAGGGGGGGCTAGGGGGGGGCATGCCCCCTATTTCAGTACGATTGGACTTGGTAAGCAAATCATTTAAACAAAAGTTGTGTCTTTCAATCTAATTCACTATTTTCGTACTTGTTGTGCCATCTTTTGACTCGAATATTCGATTTGTGTACTTCCGCGCCAAAGGTGTGCGTGCGCGAGTATATTTTCCAGCCTTTATTTTTTGTATTTTATAGCCCGAATTGCTCGAATTCCTTCCTGTTTTTTTTTTGTGAATACCAAGAAAGATACACGCCCTTAATGCAAAAACGTTCAGCTACGTGAGATCATAAGCATGTATACTTCGATTTACTGGTTTATCTGTTATAGAAACTGCTAAAAGTGGAAAAATCCGAATGTTGGGTGGTAAAATGATGGGGAAATGAAGGTTTTGAAGGCAAGAAGCGAGGGGGAAGACCAAAAGTCCTGAATAAAGCACGAAAAATAAATTTAAAGAAGGATAGATACAAAAAAGGAGACGTCCACGAGGAAACTCTCACATAGTTAGCAAGCCAAGTCCAGAAAGAGTCATGAAAGGCTCTTTAAAATGTTTAAAAAATTTCGAGGCCCCTGAGATGGCCAAAAAAAACTCTGCTTAGTCTGCCAAGTAACGCCCAGCTCGTCTCAAATTTGTAAAGAAGTACAAAAGCCTTGCTGTGGAAGGGATGATCATTTTTTTGGATGAATGCCCAACTAAAAATAAAGTTTTGATCAAAAGTTATAGTACATGAAATTAGAGGAACGAACTTTTGGGACACCCTGTAGTGTGTGCACTGACCTCGTCGCGTCTGGATTCTTTTTCCGTTTTTCATATACTAGCTGTAATGATAATTTTTTTTTTTTTTTTTGGGGGGGAGCTTCCACCTCTCAAATACACTAAATAGAACCCTGATTCCAAAAGCAGTTTGACGAGAGCAAACAAAATTGACTACAATCCCGGTCATAAGTTGTCCAAACACTTCCGGAAAACACAACATAAACTTAGTCGTTCATAATTGACACTTTTTGCTTCCCTCCCCTTACCTCAATGCTGGTTTCACGCGTTTACTTGGCCATAAATATCTTCCAAATCAACATTGAAAGGAAATGGAAGGAAAAGCTCGCAAGCGTTTCAACAATTATGACCAGAATTGTTGGCCAGACGTTCGGGCCGCGGTGACTTCAAAGGCTTGACGAGATTCATGCAGATCTTCTTTTCTCCTTCACAATGAAGAAGAAGACAAATGGAGGCTCTACTGGCAGAATGAAAAATAAGCTAAAATTGCCGCGAAAAAAATTAACTAAGTTGTTGCAGTGCCCAAAGTCAACAAAATCTCACTGAACCACTTATGATAAACATAAATTCAAGCTCTTAAACTGGTATACCCTGTAGCTATTGATTAGCATGAATTTCTCAGATTCTAGAGGAAATGTTGAATCGCTGCCTCATTGACCTTTAAACAAAACTTAACAAACACCAGTAGTTACACCATCAGATACAAGGAAACTACAGTGACCTTTGTTTAAAATTTGTATGTGAGTTCTTTTTTTTACCTTGGTGTTGTTCTTATTCATAAGTTCAATCTATAGTTAATTCTCTCTAATACAGAAACCTTTGGTATTAGAACCATGAGTCCCTCTTAAGGAAATGTATCTCTCATCTGAAGAGTATCAACTAAAACAGGAGTAAAGAAATTGAGACAAGTCCTAACTCTATTTGTATGTTCGTTTTAACGAGGTACCCGCATGATGTACTTCAAGAGAGAGCTGACTTTAGTTTGCTACAAGAATATATCTGGTTGCGGGCTTGCAGAGTTACAAATTAAATCATAAGTCTGCTGTTTGTTTGAGAGAAGTGTTTTACTGCTTAACAAGCACCGTTCCGGTACTCACAATTATTGATATAATTTTTTCTGCTGCATACCTGTCTCTTAAATATTTCAACAATAAATGTGTTCGTAGTCAAATAAAAAGAGAAAATGGCTTTACAGGTCGGTAGAATTTTTTACTATTTCTTACTAAATATGGAGGTAAGTTAATGTTTGACAGCTTTGCAGTCCTTCAGCTTGAAGAAGTAGCCTCGTTTTGGAGAGCTTTTGAAGTAGCGTACTCCCCTATACGTACCGTCAGTTCCAAGTTTATTATCAGTTAGCAGCTCGACTCCGGCTATGAGGTGTGCATTGTCAAGTGGCAATTGGGGTAAGTGCCCCACCCATCTCAAGTTCCCATTTACCAAATCCTTATTGCCAGCCAAACGGCAAGCCACACTCGAGCCAATCATTTTTGTGAAACGCTTGTCAGTCTCGGGAAGTTTCGGTGCTACGATCTTCTTTACTTCTTGAGGTAGTTTCTTCAGAGCGGGAACCTCAGTTCGTTTCTTGGATTTTACTAGAGAAGACGGCTTGGTGTTATTTATCATCTGTTTTGGTTTTGGTTTGGCTGGTGTTTGTAGGGCAGGGGGCCTGGGTACCATTTCCTGTTTGACATTAGTCTTGCTTTCGTCACCACTTCCCTCACCATCAGCAACAGACTCTTTCGTTTTAATGACAGCAGTAGATCCACCATCTCGGTCGGTTTCATCGTCAAGTAGTTCATTCTCAAGTGACAGCCTGGCTCTTTGGTAATAAAAGGCAAAAATAGAGCAAAACTAATTGTTAAGCTTTCTTGAATTACAGTTCATGACAGTTGCTCTCAAGATTCTCAAGGTGACAGGCCTGTGCTTTTTAGGGGCAAACGGCCGATTCTTTCTGCACGTTTGATAATTAACTACATTGCTGGCCACTACAAACGTAACGGAAAGTGGTAAAATTCGTTTAAGCCACCTAGTAAATAGGTTTTGAGTTTAGAGAAATTTAAAGATAATATAAAAGTAACTGACAAAATTAAAGTTTGAAATCGAAAATGCAGTGTTATTTTAGAACAACTTTCCTAAGTACAAGTTTCCTCTGTGGGATGAATGATCAGTGTTCGACAATTTCATTCGTATAAACATCCCCATCGAACCCTTTTTTGCTCGTAGCTGCCTTCCTCACAACTATTAATAGCCTTACAGTAGCCGTTTTTGATACCCCACCGTCTCCGCACCCGTCCGTCCGTCCGTCCATCATGCCGTCGGTCGTTGGCGTTCGTTAGTCGTTATCTTAAGCCTCGTTCCCAGGGTCTCTTCTTTCCGTCCCTTCCCGTTCCAGAGGGCCCTGGGAAAGAGTTTGTTCACCCTCCAGTCTTGTTCTTTAATGTGTTGCGCGTCTTCAGCCTTTTCTCGATACTAGTTAGAGAATCCTTACTTAATAGAAAGGATGATGTTGAAATCAGAAATACACCTTGTTCCAAAATGGCAGCAATACTACTTATTCTTTATAGTTATGTTAGTTAGCTCTTTTTTGCTTCGATTTCTTCTGAAGAATTCAAGAGAAATCTCACCTTGAAAGGAGACATCCAGGGCTAATTATAATAAAGACAAAAGTTGCCTCCATCTTAGAATAAGGTGTATAGAGGAGGTCTTACGTTTGCGTCAATGTTTCTAAAAAAGGAATCGCTAAAGCGCATGAGGTCTTCTGTAGCTTAAGTAAGCGTAAATTTAGAGTGGTCCTCGAATTGGGGCCTTTAGAAATACTCTAACTTTAATGATATTTCTTAAAATCCACACACCTGTCGTTCATCCCGGGATGCATAACAAATTTGTGCGGGGACTGTTCTTCTCTGTCATTGAGGCTTGGTCTTGCAATGCGTTCCCTTGGATCGTCAGCCTGAGTCTCTTCTGTCATATAGCCACCAGCCTGTCACAAAAGAAAAACAGTTGTCCAATCATCTGTCATGATCTTTGACTACGAAGCCCCTGATCAAGACAAGCGCAGTGTATTAAATTCCTGGCTGAGCCTGTTCCGTAGCTTAGGGAAAATTGACATCGTCAAGGTATGAACAGTTTTATTGTCAGCCAGTGAGTTAGATCTGCAAGTTACAAGTAATCTCGATTAGTCCCAGGTATGTGCTTTTTTGATAAACGCAAGATACAGTTATAACTATAACTTTTCATACTCCTAAGTTACACTGGGAGGAGCACTCTGCTATTTTCGGCGGCTATGAAAGGTAAAGTTTCCAATAACCCAAATATGATGTGAAGTCTTGACGAACATATTTCGATTCCCTTTAATCTCCTTCTTCACTGATAGCACGAACCACTGAAGATGCACTAGTCACAAGGGTGTTCATATTAGCAAAAACCCAATAGCCAACGCTTTAAAGGTTTTAGAAAAAGATTGTTGACAAAAGGTCAGTGGCACAAAGCTTTCTCATTATCGTTGCGCTACACTGTCCAATACGTTACTTGGAAAAGTTCAAATAATTGATTACAACTAATATTAGGGCAATACTTGCCATAACTCTTTCCAACAACTCATCTTCGTTTGTCCCGTACGAAGCTTGAGTTGTGTCCTCCTGATTTGGCTTTAGAATGAAGTTAACTGTATGCCCTTCAAACGCGTGTAGTTCCACCAGGCGTGTTTGAGGCTGGTACCCGTCTGCTGAGGCTGTAATTTCGTAGGACCCTGGAACGAGAAGGCGCCAGTAGTCTCCATCCTTAGAGGAGGTGATGTCATGTCGACGATCAGCCACTCTGATGGTTGCACCAGGGAGAGGTACGCCTTTTGTGCTTTTGACGAATCCACTCACGCCATAATGTACCTTCGAAACAAAACAAATGAAAAGGGTTAAATTGGTGTGCCTACGAATTCATGCGCTTTTAGACTACGGAAAACCTGACACGTCTGGGCATAACAAGTCTTTATAGTTTAAATTCTTACATAGTTATGTTCCTCTGTTAAACAGCTTTTACCACGAAAATTTCTACCTTTCCGATTGCAACAGTTAAAGCACCTCCATTTTGTCGTAACATCTGTTTAAATGTAACGGGTCATATCACCAAAACAGCACGATAATGCTATTCGAGAAAACACCTAACCATGGCCGCTATTATTCATGCGAAACCTCAACACAGAATTAACATGTAAGGTAGAAAAAAATGTCTCACCTGTCGTAGGAGCTCGATCAGAGGCTTTCGATTATCCAGCCAGTATTTCTTTAGTTCGCTGCTTTTTGGAAACCGATTGCATCCGAGTTCCAGCGTTATTTCAAAACAGTTTGAGTTGACGTAATTATAGTCTTGCATACCCCCAGACAGGCTGGCCCAGCTGGCACCATTCGTGATGCCGTCTATGAAGTGCTCTTCCTTTTGATCTGTACAGTTCCATTTGGGATTTGCCAAGTGCATCACTGGATGCTCCTGAGAAAGCGATGATTAAAAGCACTTTTGAGAAAAAGCGTTGTTGACAATATAATCAGCATTCAATGGATCATAATGAAAAACAAAATAAATGAAATTATATGAATGATTTGTGGAGGGGTCATAAATCGCTTATAAAATCAGATCACCGCTATGTTAATTAGATATGAAAATCAGCAAAAAAAATTACTATATCAATTAAAAGCAAAATTCTATGCTGATAAATAATTAGCAAAATACAGTGTCTAACAAAATTCAAACACCTAAAAAAGAACTATTGCGCTCTTTGCCTTCGTTTATGAATAACTATATGAAGATGTGATTTGCTTCGAACGTTTTTAGCGGAGCTCCACGGGCGACGCTTCGTGCCGCGAGTGGGCGGAGCCCCATAGCTAAGGAAATGTGGTAATCTACCCATCCAAGAAAATTTGGTAATCACGTGACCGTACACCGAGCGAGCGACCGTCCGTCCGCACCACAGGCATACCAATGTAAAATAACTCAATCAACAGGTATGGCAACCCAAATGCAACTCAAGGTTTTATTTGGAACGAAATCACATGGCCGCCCGGACTTTTAGAAAGAAAAAAACAACAACAAAGTCGTGTCTTTTTCGGCGTTATTTTTTTATGTTTACACTAACGTGGATAACAGAGAAAGAGCTAGAGCGAGTTATTGAAAACAAAGGAGACGAATTTCGTAGGGAGAAAAACATGGAAATTCAAAGCGGCGGGAAGAAAATGAGAAATACTAGCGGCCAGCAAGGTGAAAATGAGCGGCGGTGAAAGATAAAAGCGAACATGAACACAGGAAACAACATATTGGGTAAACACATACGACAATTCCTCCATAAAAATAATGTGTAACTAGAAAGTTTGACGTTTTAGTCGTACAAAACAGCGTTGTAGTGGTGCAAAACAACGGCAAGGGAAAGACAAAAAATTGTGCTGCACGTGCAAATTTTCTTTTTGCTAATTAGAAGAAAAAGAGCGCTGCACGTGCGATTTGTTTTTTTGCTAATTAGATCTATTAGTCTTGAAACCATTTTCATTGTCGTCTCCGTTTAACAATACACGATTTAATTCTTTTTGTTTATAAGTATTATTAACCAGAGCTTCGCTCTTAGCCCTGGCTAAATCTATATATTTCATTAGTGAAAGCGCAAATTTTCGGTGGTATATTGGCACAGATCTGAAAAACCTGAGGAAATTGCTATAATTATGTTTACTTTTATTTATTACTTTAATTACGTGCATTTCTTCTTTAATGAGTTATTCGTCAAAATAAAAAAAATCAGTAGCTATAAAAAGGCTCTTAATAAGAGTTTAACATCAGCTAACAACTGAATCTCCTTTGTTCAGTTGTTGATCGATGTGTCCTAGCTTAGGGTAGCTCTTCGCTGGGTCCCGCCGGCCTTTTTGTAAAAGGCCGTGGAAGAGAGGGACCATAAAACTAAACAATTTTAAAGATTCGACCCAATAGAGAACCTAGTTCCCATACGTAAATTAGCCCAACAATTTTATGTAAGTTTCTTGACGAAAAGGGTTACTAATGTGAAAACAATAGGAGTGGGCCTTACTGATTAAAAATTCTATCTTAAAGGGCCAAGGATTTGAGGCTGATTCATTCGCATCTTCACTGGTGGATGACAAGCCGCAAGTTTACATTATACACAAGGAGTTCTGGCATAAAGACTGCTTAAGCTAAGTATGAAGTCGAAGTTGAGGTGGAAATAATGTATTTCGCGCCCGCCCATCTCTTGTTTCCGCCCATGTACCTGACCCAATCTTTAAAACCGGCAGAGTGGTTTGTCTACAAACTAACAACAGATTATACCTGTGAGTAAGACTTTGCCAATCGCCTGAATACATCGTCATCAGGTGTGGCGCTGTAAAGGCTTTGACCAGATGGTGAATCGTCATACGGATACAGAGCTACCAACGCACCACTGTGTAGACTAGCAGAAAGAACAAAGGGATACTGTTTGATCCAGTCCATTACCGCCTCCACCTCCACCTGTGGCGGACCAGTGGTACTGGGAAAGAATTGATCCGGAAAATTTCGATTCAAATCGATTCCATACGCATTCCTCTTTCCAGTCAGTTTGTTTCCTTTTCCACGCACGGCCGCCATTTCGTACCCATCTGGGTTCATACTAGGTAGAATATGGATCCTAGTTGCGTCAACTAATCCCTTAGTCTCGGTATTATCCACATAGTTTTCACAAAGATATTTAATCAGCTGTAGTAACAATTCCCTGCCTAATGCCTCGTTACCGTGAATATTACCTACATACTTGACTTCAGGTTCGCCCGGCTCGTGTGTTCCAGGATTATCCGAAATCTCCATAACCCACAACTTGCGATTCTGAACACTGTATCCAATATTGTAGAGTCTCGTTATGTTCGAGTACTTCGTAGCAAAGTACTTCAAAAACCAGGTCATCTCCTCGTAATCATGATGTTTAAACTCTTCCACATTTGCGATATCGATATTATTCTTGCTTCGCTCGTGCGTTGTGTCTTTTCCTTCGGCGCCTCCGTGAAACATGTCCAGCACTCTTTTAAATAACGGTGTACTGTTTACACAATGAAATGAAGACAAAATTAAACCGAACAAAACAACGGATGAAGGGAACATATTGATAGAATTCTAATCAGGGATAATTGTTTCTTTTTTCGCCGATATCACACGCGGTTCTTGTAGCGATAAAAAGCCTTCACCTTGAAATCAAACTCCAAAATCCGTGTTAGATCATTTTGCCATTAACTGAAGGTTATTCGTTTATTTATTGTCTTTATTTAGGTCTTACTTTGCTCGTACAGGGCGTGGTTTGTAACAAATTATCCTTCAAACCCAATTATACGAGTAATTTATAGTGTTGACTAATTATTTTGCCTTAAATGGCACATTGTTGATAGTTTGTTGTATTTTTTTAAGACAAACACGCTTAACTGTTGGTAGGGTTTACCCATCATTAACTAGTGTAACCGAGCAAAAACGACAAATAAACTTGCAGTGATATAAATTTTACAATTCGATTGCCGTTTGAAATACTGGTCTCAAAAAATTGTAGCAAATTCTTCAAAAAGAGATTAAAACGTAACAGCTAATATTTGTATTAAAATCATTTGAGAGGTTTTTGTGTTTTCATAGTTCACCCGGAAGTAGGCTTTGCGCTAACAGGTGACGGGTAGCAAATTTAACCTGTCGCTTAGCAGCAGGTTGTTGGTAATCGTGATAATTGAAGTTTTTATTAAGAATGAAATATAAGGGATCAAAATAGGTGTTTACCATAGCCACAACGTTAAGAAAATGGGTATGTAAATCGTAAAAAAAAAATATAGGGCAAAAAAAATCAACAGTGGCTTTCATATATGCCTCAGTAGTTTTCAATCAGGCGAAAACTTCTGTCTTTGTTTGGAACGAAGCATGACTAGCATGGATCATAGTTTTAGTGAGGTCGTGATGCGATATGCAAAATGCACATCATTGTTAAAAATTTGTAAGGTGTGGCATTCTACTGTTACTCCTAAAGCTGATCTCAGTAGCAAATGAACAAATCTCTCAGTGACTGTTCGCGGGAGAGGCATTCGTTTGAATCTTTTTAACAGTGCTCTTCAAAAGAAACACAGCGATGGCTTACTTTAAGCTGTTGGCATTTTTTGTGCTTTTACAAATTTTGGCGTTTGCTTGGGGAAAGCCTCCCGATAAAGGAGCTCAGAAATTTTCGGTTTCCAAAGATGCGAAACGCGAAACCGAGTCGAATTCTGCCAGGCAAGAAAACACGAAATTGAGATCGTCTGCAACCGTTAAAGAAGTCAAGCAGAAACCTTCAAAAAGTTTAGTTAACGTTAAAGGAGGCAACGAAGAGCTTGCTAAAGCAACAGGAGAGGAACTGGAAACTGAATCTAGCGCAGACGGCGAGATCCTGGAGAAAAACCACAGCTTTAGACATCATAACTATGAGGAAATGACATGGCTGTTGAAGGAATATTCCAAGAAGCACAGCAAAATAGCACGCTTGTACGACATTGGCAGTTCAGTACAAAACCGTAAACTTTGGGTTATGGAAATATCCAATAATCCAGGTGAACACGAGCCAGGTGAACCCGAGTTTAAATATGTAGCAAACATGCATGGAGATGAAGCGATAGGACGAGAGATGTTAATTCATCTAATAAAGTACCTGTGCAAAAATTACGGTGTGAACCCAAGGGTTACCAAGATCGTGGACATGACAAGAATCCATATTATGCCCAGTATGAACCCTGATGGTTATGAAATGGCCGCAACTCTGCCTGACCACCAGTGGAAAGCCCGTCCAAATGCGAACGGTGTCGATTTGAATCGAAATTTTCCCGATCAGTTTTTCCCCAGCACGAATGGACCACCTCAACCCGAAACTCGAGCTGTCATGAAGTGGATTAATTCCATCCCATTCGTACTGTCGGCCAGTCTGCACAGCGGCGCGCTCGTGGCAAATTACCCCTACGACGACAATCCCTCGGGACAGAGTGTATACAGCGCTACCCCTGATGATGACGTATTCAGACAGCTTGCGCGTTCCTATTCTGAAGCCCATCCCACAATGCATCTCGCAAACTCCCCATGGAAATGCAAGCACATCCCACGCGAGCATTTTATCGACGGAATTACAAATGGCGCCAAGTGGTTCAGTGTATCAGGAGGGATGCAAGATTACAATTATGTACATTCAAACTGCTTTGATGTAACGCTTGAGCTCGGCTGCCGGAAGTTTCCAAATGCGAGTGAATTACCAGAATACTGGCGCGAGAACAAAGAGGCACTCCTCAATTATATAGAACAGGTAAACTAGTAAATGATCCAGAAGAAACTTCTCGTCCCATGTAAGAGAATCCAAGACAGTCTTGGATTCTAGATTCTACGCCTTGGATTCCAGATTCCAGGTACTGAATCACAGCCTTTGTCAGTGAGACTAGGATTCTGGATTCCAATCGTTAGTGGGAATCCATATTCCTTGAGCTGTAATCCAGATTCCACAGGCAAACATTTCCTGGATTCCAGAATCCGGATTCCCTTACATTGGGCGGCATTTCATTTAAGTTTTGTCACTGAAATCTTTGTCTGCCAAATATCTGTCACGCGATTTTCAGCTGAAAAAGTAAACAACCAAGCGTTGGATAGTCGAAGATTGTTCTGACAGTATCCCTGTATTTAATAGAATTCCATTGTACTGCCGTAATCCAATTCAACCTCTTGCTTTTAGGTTCACACAGGTGTGCACGGCTTTGTGAAGGATGAGGATGGCCAACCAATCAATGGAGCGAGAATATCCGTAAATAATCGCCGCCATGATGTTTTCTCTGCACGCGATGGAGACTTCTGGCGGTTACTAGTCCCAGGCTCCTATGAAATTACAGTTTCCGGACGGGGATTCGAGCAAGAAACAAAGTCATGTACAGTTCTGGTAAATAAAGCAGCCCATCTAGATTTCACTCTTAAGAAAATAAGAATGAGGGAATCCAAGCACACGATGGATGATTATAACTGGCCTCGGGAGAGAATTCTAAATGATGATGGGTACAGAAGTGAGCAAGGACGACAAGCATGGGAAAACAGGGGCTACAATGATGAAAAAATGAACAATGATTATAATGATGCAGCTATGCGAAGAGAATATAACATTCGTGAAAACAGGGGAGGCTCCTATGACGAGTATGGACAGAAAAGCAACAGCTTTCCTCACCCGAAATGAAACTACGAATTTTAATAATATTTACTTTCTTACATATTTTTGACTGCCTTAATGTCTCACACAGGTCTTGACAGCATTTTTCTGCAGCAGAAAAAGGATGTTAGGTCAATTAATAGTGACGTTTAGATTCGAGACCAGAACGACTACGGAGAACGATTTCGGAGAATTGCCCTTAAGGGTTGTTTGACGTGTTCTCAAAAGATATATTGTATTGTATTGTATATATTATCCTTTTAATTCACCAGAAAATTTAGCACCGTTATGTTATTGAAGTCGGAAAGGCTCTCTTTCCATCGCATAATGATATCTTTTCATGCACCCAACGACATTCTCGATAAAAGCTGAGTAGAATTACGACGACTATCATGTTTTCCAGCCAAAGCGATGCTGGTTCTCTCGCGCGGTCTACTTCAATAGTATTGAGAAGATCTCCTTTTTAGTAGTCCTAAGAATCTAAAGGTCTCTAATGTGTATATAGGCAGCATATGCATCAACCACACGCGTTAGCCCGTCTTAAGCCTGGTTTCTATATGATCTTCCCGATCGTCTCAGTCGTCTCAAATAATGTTCAGACAATCGAAACGATCCGTGGAAACGTTACCTGGACGATCGCAAAAGACCCGGGCCACTGAGACGACCTCGATTGCTTGGATAGAGTTGAGTTCTTTCTAGAGAATCGAGTCGATCGTGTAGATTTTAAAGCGATCATGGAAAGGCTCTCAGACGACTGAGACGATCGGGACGATCAAAGGCTATCCCAGAAATCTCCACTTTTATTCCAGTAAACGAGAATAAATTCGGGCTGAATGGCGCTCAAGTCGAAAAAAATAGTAAGAAAAATGTTCGCCCCGCATATGGGCGCTATTTGAAATCAGAGAAACAGAGAAAGACCGTGACATCAAGCTCTCGACGTGATACTATGTCTTCGTGGAACTCTACTAGCTTCTCGACGCCGCAAAATCGAGCGAAAAAGAAGATAGCAAGGCACGAGGTTCGCTCTCCGAATAAAAATCATCGTGTTTGGCTTGTTTTCGAAACACGCGATAAATTCTATTGTCTCACCCAGAGACATCGCTGACGAGCCCGCGTCTTTTGCCTTTGATTGAGGCGATCGAGACGATCATTTCAAAACTACCGATCGTCTCAGTCGTCCGGATCGTCTCGAAACGACTGTGGCGATCGGGGTGATCCGGACGATCATATGGAAACCAGGCTTTAGTTCTGCAGGAGATGTAACTTGCTTGATCAAGTACATCCAAGTCACTATTTGCTTTCAGTAGTATACAAAAGGGCTCATAGAATTCTTGTGTGGACATGTCCTAAGAAACTACACAACTGTCTGATGACACTGCTTTCTTATTAAAAACGACTCTTCTTTAATTCAGTTAAGTCTGGCTCTTAGTCTTAGATTTAAGACTTCAAACTTCTTCGGCCCAATTTTAGGAACCAACCCATTGATCAGCGTTTTGCAGCGTTTCAGGCTATAGATAACTAGGATAATTTTGAGTTTCGATCGAAACAAAATAAAGTTCAAGTACAAAGGCACAACAAAAAATAAATGTTAAGTGGGCACGATTGCTTTTCCAAAGTGTTGATTTAAAATTATAGTTTAATTTTTCAGACACTTATTTCTCGTAATCTGTCTTTCTGAAAAGGATTAAAATTTTCCTTTCGGTAATTAACTCTCACGAAATAAACAAACTTAGATGAAAGTTCAAAATTAGCATTTCATTTAAAAGTTATCATTGGTTGTGTAAAGACAACAATTATCTTTATAAATTGTTCCCGCAGGACTAATTCTACTGATCGATGATCAATATTTTACTAATGGTCGTAGATTTTCTTCTCCAAGTTTGTTAAATGTAATCTGATTGAAAGATTTGAAAAGCGCTTAAAGTAG